CTCTTACTGTTTGTATACTGTTTCTTTTTTCTCTATCCACTTTGCTGCTGCAACATCGGAATTTCCCCATTGTGGGACAAATAAAGGAATATCTTATCTTATCGTAGTTATTTCTTGATTATTTCTCATGGCTTGATTGTTGGTTGACTGTCTTTGTGTATGCTGGTTGTATGTAGGTATGTATGTAAGGACTGACTGTAAATGTTTTTGTTTGCTCTGAAGTCTTGCTCTGTCTTGACAAGAGCTTTATTATATATCAATGAGACTGAAAGTGAAATCTCTAAAACAACCTCTAAAATATTTCATTTGCATTGGAGATCTTATATTTCTGTAACTGTGTCTATAGTGTACTATATGCTGGTTGTCTGTAAGGTCTGACTGCAGTACTGATCAATTGATTCTTCAAGTCATTTCAAAGTCTAAAATGTGAGGATTTGCTACTTTTCTTTTTCGTTTTATATCATCATAAATTAATATCCTTGAACTTTTTTTTGTACATCGGACCGTTAGTTGGACAAAACAAACAATCTGAATATGTCATTCTGGGTTCTGGGCAATTCTGATGGGCATTATTCTCAAATTTCTGACATTTTATAGACTAAACAATGAATAGAGCAATTGAAAAAATTATAACATTAACAGTTTAAGTAATACTGATAATAATCCTTACTTGCAGCCCTGTCAGACGTTTTCTTATTCTCAGCTCTATTGAGACTGTCTGATTAAATTACATTACTAATGGAAATTGAAGGGAAGGAAGGAGAGCAGAGAGAAAGGAAAGGAGAAAGGTAATACAAACAACCAGGAAAACATGCAAGGAACTAGTATGGGAAAAATGAAAGGAATTAATAACTATGGAGTCTTTAGGAACTAGGGAATAGGCAAAAATGTAAAGATGGAGAGTGATTGGCATCGAGACTTTGATGGCTATTATTAAACTACTTCTCTAATGAATAAAGCAGTCTGTGGGGTGGCAGGAGGGAGAAGGAGAGCGAATAACTGATCTGATGGTTGCTGCTACTGGGACCAGCTGCAACTATACCGCCCCTCCGACGATCAAACACACATCACTTGGATTTCTCTGTGTTTGTGTATATATGGCGAGTGTGAGTCTCATATGGCTTTGTCTCTTCTCATGGGGCTCCTCCGCAACATTTCACACACTAATTTGTCATTTCCATGGCAACCCTGTATTACAGGGGCTACAGCAAATATGTGTGTTTGTGCATGTGTGTTTGAGGGAGAGAGAGAGAGACAGGAAGAGAGATGGGGAAGGAGGGCGAGAGAGAGAAAGAGTGATTGAGTGAACAGTACATTATCATGGACAGCTGTACTGAATCAAAATGGCGGATGGAGGCTGGGAGCACATCAGGGGAGCCTACATTATACAGCACCTGATAGAGGGAGCAGGGTGGAAAAGATGCAGGGTAGAGAAAAAGGGGAAAGATGCATTGGGGGGATTTGAAAGAAGAAGGAATAAAAGAGGGGAGATGGAGAAACTCATGGAGATGGGTAACACAAAATGGAAGAGAAGAGAGGAAGAGGTGGAGGGATAGAAAGAGAGACAAGGAAAGGGAGTGGCAGAGAGCGAGGGATGGATGGCTAGAGAGAACGAAAGAGAGAAAAATGCTGGTGTATCTAAATCCTAGTGTAGCAAGCCTCAATCATGGCAGCCCTGTCATTCTGGAGATAGCACACTGCAATTCCCCTGCACCTCGTTTTTAGCCCACCATGCAGTTCTGCTATCAGCTCCTCTCAGACTGTCCACACACACACACACAGCATAAACTCAAACATCCTGCATGAAGGCATCCCTCCTTAATAACAGACAGGTGGATTAACTATGCACTCATACAGTATACAGATAGATGACCAGCTTAGGAAATGTATGTAAATGTATGCTAACATATGCATAGTCTCTATATTAAGTTAAAGTGTGAAAATCCATACAGTCAAGTTCACTAAAGGCTACGACGGCCGTTTCCATCTCTATTCGGTGATACACAGCATCTGGCTTTGAAACCGATTGGACTATCACATCACTGCCAAGGGAGCAATACTGTAGAGGAGGATATTACTGTCAGGACACAAGTGACAGATTGGTGGTCTGCAACGTTGAGCTCTTATTCCTTTTTTTTTGTTGTTGTTGTTGTTAAATTGAAGGCATTTATTCCCAACATGAGATATAGTTTTAAAAATCTGACACCAGCTCTGACAAAAGCCTTCCTGGTTCAGAACTAAAACTAGCGCAAAAACGATTAATCAATTATTTGATTGGCAGAAAAGTGATGGTAATAGTTGAAGTAATTTATCAAGCACACATGCTCCTTTCTCTGTTTATTTTTATCAATGAATTCTGGTTTGAAGATGTGACACTGAACTTATTGAACTTCCCTATTTTATGTCACTTTATAGATCAAACTATTTATTGACTATAGGGATACGACTAACGATTATTTTCCTAATATATAAATCTGCATTCGATTTATCTGATTATGTTCTTGGTCAATTGATTAATCATTTTGTCTATAAAACAAAACCGATGAAAAATGCTGTCAGTAATGTCTTATTTTGTCTGACAAACAAAATATATTGCTTATAATGTTAAGACAATGAAAATCAAAAAAACTGAAAAAATCTAATTTTGAGCATTTTTTGTCTCTATAAATGTCTTAAACAATTGTCAATATATTTCATTTTCTGACAGTCGAGTAATCAACTTGATCAAATAATCGACTTATCATTGTCAACACATTACTCTAATAATCTTTAGTTGCTGTTGCAATGAATAAACAGTTTGATCTTTAAAGTGACATAAAATAGTCCAATGTGATGACTTCAAAACCAAAAGATTTTTAGTCATTTTTGCTTCAATACTAGTAAAACATATTAAAGTTAAAATAGTTTTTGAGCAGCCATTGTCTCATCTTTGTTTAAGTGAATTTCCATGGGACACAAATAGAACTTAACTAAATAATATCTAATGTTGTGAATCCCTTTGAATTTCAATTTAAGAAAAAACTATGAACAGCACACTTCCTGCCATTATGTTCAATCTTTTTCTTGTCCTTTTTTGTTTTCTTTATCTGTGTTCATCTCTCTCTCTCTCTC